AAACCCGAAAACCCGAAAACCCAAAAACCCTAAACCCTAAACCTTGAGCCCTAAACCCTAAACCTTTAACCCTAAGCCCTAAACCCTAAGCCCTAAGCCCTAAAACCCTAAACCCTAAACCCTAAACCCTAAGCCCTAAAACCCTAAACCCTAAACCCTAGAGCCCTAAATCCCCCAAATCCCCCAAAATCCCCTAAATCCCCTAAAATCTTTTAAATCCCCTAAAGCCCTAAAACCCCAAAAACACCTAAAACCCCCCCCTAAACGCCAGGCTGGCGATGCAACGCCCTCTGCAGCGGCTGAGCCGGGTTGGGGTCCTCGGGGGTGAAGATTTCCAAAACGGACTGCTTCGGGGTCCTACGAGGGTTTAAGGTTTAGGGTTTAGGGTTTTAGGGTTTTAGGGTTTTAGGGTTTTCAGGGTTTTCAGGGTTTTCAGGGTTTAGGGTTGTAGGGTTTTAGGGTTTTAGGGTTTTAGGGTTTAGGGTTTAGGGGGTTGTTTAGGGGTTTCATAGGGGTTGTAAGGGGGGTTCTGAGAGGGCTCTGTGTGGGTTCCGATGAACATTTAGCGCTTCTAGGTTGTAAGCTACATTTTCCCTAAACCCTAAACCCTAAGCCAAACAAAAACCCTAAGCCCTAAACCGTTGAAGCCCGAGCTTCGATTCCAAGTTCTATTCTAAGTTGCGGGCAGTCCTTGCCTGGACACTGCACCCTTGTCTGTTTATGGTTGCCTCTGAGGTGAAAAGGTAGGTTCTTTTGCAGGCTCCACGTACTCGCAGTTCCGAAACCCGAAATCCCAAACCTTAAATCCTAACTAAGCCCTATGTCTAATCCAAAACCCATATCCTACCCGAAACCGGGATCCTTGAAGATTTTTCAGGGGCATCTGCTAGCCCAGCTCCGAAGACTGCACCAAATAGGAGCGACGTTTGGATATTGTAACCCTGTAGGGGAGCCCCGAGAAAGGAAGCCCGGAAGGGAAGCCTTGAATCAAGGGACTAAAGGAGGGACCCTGAATATATAGGGGCTTTATGAAAAGGCTTTATGAACTATATAAGGGGTATATAAGGGTTATATAGGGTATTTGGATTAGGGGTCCCTTCTAGGGGTTCCTCCTATTGTCCCTTAAGTAAAGGAAGTTCGGGTCTTCAGGGTTTCGGGCACTTGTAGTACGTACTGTTGATGGACAAAACTCTGCATGACCCAAATATAGTATAGTACCATAAATCCCATAGTTTAGGTCTATAGGGTCATGCAGGATTTTGTCCATCAGCCGTATCATCTTTTGCAGGTGTAGGCAGTTAGTACAAGGATGGTCATCAACTTTTGCTTGGTGGCAATTCGGTGTCATTCCCCTTCCGGTCTCAAAGAGGTAACTGTGCATAGTGATTCTTGGCACCGCTAAGCTGCGGGGCAGATAAGCATCGGTGTTGTTATGCTTGCTGTAATCACTTTCGTCATTGCTACACTCACGTCACGGCGTCGACGTTGGCGATGATCCGTGTTACGCAGAACACGCTGGCAGTTTTGTTTAATCGTGGCCACTCTTCTTGGCTATTTCTTCAGCTTGAGCTATTGACACGAGTATTCCCTAGACCCTAAACAAGAAACCCTACAACCCTAAAGTGAAGCTTGTTTCCGGAGGACTCCCTGGGTCATGTCGAGCTATGTGACTGGACCATCGTTCACAAACCCGGGCTCGGTGAACCACTCAAATCCCTACCTGCATCTCCAACTAGCTCTTCGTGTGTATATATATATATACATATGTATATACACACATTGTTCATATGTTTTTTTTGGGAAGGGTGTATCCTGGGCCCGCACTTTTTTTTTTCCTA